GGTAAAGGGGGGGTGCGGAGAAGGGGGGGGGGCCTTTGTCTTAGGCATGGATTACATGTGTCGCAATAAGAACCTGACAGACTCCCATTATCAAAACCTAGACAGTTGGGCTCTGAGATTGGTGGACGGATGAGCACGTTGCGGTCGGGGGATCTGGCGGTACTTAGTGAATCGGGTTAATGGTTCTGGACCCCTGCGGTCCCATGATATGTTTTTGTATTATCGTCCAGTGGAATGGCGCCGGTGCTGTAGTGATGGGGGATGTGAATGTTGGACGGGCGGCTTCTTCGCACCTCCGCAGTTCGATGGTCTCTTGGGGTGATGATGGGGTCAGTCTAGAATTGAAGCGCCGCAATAGAATATTCAAGTCCAGACACAATTGTCTAGAAAGTTAACGCATTTCCTGAGCTGTAGCTCTGCCCCCTTATGATGGTAGGATACAGAGCCGGTTTGTACAGCTTCCGTCAGCAGCTGGTTCTAGGTACCCCCCTCTGCTGACCCTTCAGTATAGTGCTAAAGGGGTCCGGGGGAAAGTTGGGGGTTAAGGCAACATCAGCACTCCAGCTGTGGGGAAACTACAAGTCCCATGAGGTGTTGCAAGACTAACAGGCTTGACCCCCAGAAGCAGAGACATGCTGGGATTTGTAGTTTCTCCACAGCTATAGTGCTGAGGTTCCCGGCCCTCTCTCCCCTCTGGCGGTAGCGGGCGGCCCCCTCTGGCGGTAGCGGGCGGCCCCCTCTGGCGGTAGCGGGCGGCCCCCTCTGGCGGTAGCGGGCGGCCCCCTCTGGCGGCAGGTCCCCCTCTCCCCTCTGGCGGCAGCGGGCGGCCCCCTCTCCCCTCTGGCGGCAGCGGGCGGCCCCCTCTCCCCTCTGGCGGCCCCCTCTCCCCTCTGGCGGCAGCGGGCGGCCCCCTCTCCCCTCTGGCAGCGGGCGGTCCTTACTGCTGAACTGACAAGCCCTAAGTTAAGGATATGTGTGCGCCATTCAGTGAAGCAGTACTGAGTCCATGCTGTGTGATGACACACCCCCTGGGGGCGAGTCTATGACACCCATGGCTCACAGTAAGTGGAGTAAATACCCGGCTGTCATTCATCCCGGGAGGGACGCACTGCCTTTTGATAGGATCTCAGTACGTTCTGTTTATTTTTATGTTGCTCGGCCATTTATGGTTTATTGATCCGGAATTCCGCTTCAAAGGAAACCCAGCGCTGAGAATTGCCGGCCGCCTGCGTAATGCTAACTTCTTGGCTGTTGTGCTGATCTGGCTTCAATACGGCCGTTCTTGGTCTCCGTACAGCAGTGGCGGTGGCCCCGTATCTCTGACAAAGGTTAAAGGGGCGCTCTGCTCTGGAACTCTCTGCTGACATTCCGTGATTCCTGCGGATACAAACCACACGCGTCCAGGAGGAAATCGCTTTCCTGGGGAGATTCAGCTGCTTGTTGAGGAATACGGCACCAGCTTCAGCGCGCTGCACACGGAGGGCGGCCCGCCTGGCAACATAGAACTGTAAAAATATTTTCTGCACCCTTTTCATTGGCTCCCTCCAGACTCCGCCCATATGTCGCTTCTTCTGAGGGGCTGACAACGCTCATCTCATCCATCGGAAGCCCATGTGACAACACATGATGATGTATCCAGTCATACCCCGTCTGTCATGTTTATTGCTGCCTATGTCCCCGCTGTGTCACCTTCTTTGTACAGGAAGTGAAAGGAAATGTGCCAATGGGGGAGAGCTCCTCCCACTTCCTGTCTGGTTTTCATGTATCCGGGTCAGGGTATAGATAGTAGAAGGTGGTCACCGTCATCTGCACTTGTTCTGTAATGTTATTGTAAGACATGTTGTAGCTTCACCAATTCTAAGGAGTGCCCCCCGCCCTATCGGGAACGCCCCCGGACATTCGTACCCCCCGCCCTATCGGGAACGCCCCCGGACATTCGTACCCCCCGCCCTATCGGGAACGCCCCCGGACATTCGTACCCCCCGCCCTATCGGGAACGCCCCCGGACATTCGTACCCCCCAGCAGGAACACACCCCGGCATTCATACCCCCTGCCCTAGCAGGAACACACCCCAGTACTTCTATCCACACAGGGAGCACAGACACCTTCATCCAATCACCATGGACTGTGCAGATGTTGATGGTCCAGGAACAAGATGGGAGGTGTGGAGGTTGTAGAACCCGCCCCCCTCAGATTTGGCTACGGCGGATCTCTCCCGCAGATCGGAGTTGTTACAAATCATTCGCCAATTTCACAGCTTTTCACATTTTCTTTTATTCAACAAAATTTCTTTTATTACAAATTCAAAAATAAATTCATTAGAATTTGGCAAAAAATCGTTATAACGGCAGCGCAGAGTTAGTTAAAAATAGAGAAATTCTAAATATATATTTATAGATTATTGCGTCCGGAAAAACCTCTGTTCCCGGACAGTGAAGAGCCGAGGAAGACATAAATGTGTCTGGTTGGGGGTCAGCACCATGCACTTCCTCTATTGGACCTGAAGGGGTTAAATCTCAGGTGAGGGGCTGCATGTCGTGTTTCCTGTGAAGGGACTTTTCACCCCCCTGTAATGGGGATTCATCGGGGGAGGTGGGTGTAGATTCCCCCCCACTCCTATAATGGGGATTCATCGGGGGAGGTGGGTGTAGATTCCCCCCCACTCCTATAATGGGGATTCATCGGGGGAGGTGGGTGTAGATTCCCCCCCACTCCTATAATGGGGATTCATGGGGGGAGGTGGGTGTAGAT